GAGTTGTTAATCACTTTATCGACAGGGAGGGGTGGAGATTACCAACCCCCGCTTGCCCCCCAAAAAGGGGGGGGGGTGGGGAATTTTGGGGGGTTGAAGTCCACCCATCTTCAAGCTGCCAAGGTTGAGAAACACTGCTCCAGTGAGTCACTTCCAAATGTTACGGTGTTCTTCTGGACTTAAAAAATGTTTCAGCCCCTTTTGCCTAGGGAACGGTTCCTGGATATCTCCACCAGGGTCATCTTCCCAACTCTCTACAAAACCTGAACTTGGGCGGTTTTCTTGTTTTGTTTTTTTAACACCAGCTTCTGGCCCTCGTGGTTGCTAAAACCTCCTTTGAAGCCCTCATGAACCTCTTGAAATTTCAGACCGGACCTATGGAAGCATGCAGGATTATAACCACATGTATAAATAGATGCATAATCCTTTGCAAACACGTGCATTTGGTTTTCCGGGAAAAGATGGGGTTAGCTTGGGGCCGAAAGTGCCTTCGCGGATCCCGTCTCTCACCCCCCTCTTCCCACCTCCCGTACAGGTACGGAAAAATCCAGTGATCTGGAGAAGCGGGATTCCACGAGGCACCGATCGTCAAAGTCCAAAATGCTCGTGATTAGTGGCGGGGACGGCTGTGAGGATTTCAGACTCACAAACAGCAGCGAGACAGTGGGCCGGGATGACAGCACAAACCATCTGCTCCTCTGGAGGGTCTGATGTGTGTCGGAACAGGGCCCCCCTCTGGGTGGGGCGGGGTAGAAAGCTCCAGTTCCGTCCTGCCGTTCACCCATGAACGCGTACTGCTCCAGCTGTGTGTCATCCCCATCTTGACTGTCTCGTACGCGCGATTGCCACCTGGATCCGCTGCCCAGACGGAGCTGTGCCTTGAGGAGGATTGTTGCCGACCCCCGCCGACCCCCTACAATGCAAACCCCTATTGCACGACTCGCGCTTACTGCTGTCTTTAAGTGTAACGGGGATGTGCATGCACACGCGTGCGCGAGAGGCTGAAGGAGGGCCCGAGGGGCCGTGCTGTTACACAGAGGCCCCATTGGAAGGTCCAGAGGGGTAAACGTAGGCATTCGGCTCTGCTTCGGAAGGGCTGGTCTGCTCTGTGGAACCTGGTTGCTGAGATGGCCCCAGCTCAACCCCCAGAGGCATCGGATCTTGTGCCACTGTTTTCCATCCACGAGGTCTCCAAATCTAACCTAGGAGGCTTCAACAAAGATTTACGCAACATCCAGAAATCTGTTCCGATCCAGGCGGAACTGGTTCAGACTTCCATCCCTTTGATTTGCCCACACGCTTCTCAAATGGAGGTGCCAAAACAGAAATCCATCTTTAACTTCCCAACACTTAGCGGGCCAATACCTTTCGAGCACTCCGTTTCATCGGCTCATCACCTGTCTGTGGACTCCCTTCCCTCACTGCCAGGATACAGATAACTCGGGTGGGCTGTTTTGCTTACACGTGGGTGTGCGTGTGTCTTTTTTAAATGTATGTATAAATAACCTTTATTTATTGTTGATCGGAGCGAGGAGGAGGAGGAGAAGGAGGTGTTCTGGGCCTGGGGGCGCAGATTGCTTAGCAGGCTGAGAACGCTTAGGGTTTTTTCCTCGCCGTGGCCAGAGGTGGTCTGAATCATGTCGATGGAAGGGTCGTCGCTATACAGTAACAGTAGAAGATCCTTGGTATGTATAGTAGGTTGCAACCTGTTGCAGTGGGGCTACTCCAGAGTGGCTGGTGATGAAGTGTGTATGTTTGTTCACAAAGGGCTGGTTGGGACAGAGAAATTGTGGGTGGAGACCATTAACAAGGGCTTGGACCAGTGTTTCTCCACCTTGGCCACTTTAAGATGGGTGGACTTCAGCTCCCAGAATTCATGGGGAATTCTGGGAGCTGAAGTCCACGCATCTTAAAGTGGCCAAGGTGGAGAAACACTGGTCCAGACAGGATCGTTGCAAAACAGAGCAGAATTTCCTGCATGTTTTACACAAGTTGGAAGACCATCGCTGCAAAGACTTGCCCACCAAGTTCTCACTACTGCATTTTCCTCGGTGCCTCCTCGCCACGCCATCGGGGAGCAGAAGGGGGTGGGGAGCAGAAGTTTACACACACACCCTTGTACTTTGTACAGTATTTATCTTTGGTTTTTTTAAACCAGGTCTTCACTGTTTGCAGATGGGGACGAAGAGGCGTTGGAGGGTTAGTGGCACTTAATTTGCAGGTTCCTTTCTAAGGAGCTTCGAGGAGGGGCCGCCCAAATAAAGAAATCCAAGGTCCCCCCCCCCTCAAAAAAAGGGTTGTTGGGTTTGTGATCTTCTGCTGTCACAGAAGATCAGGAGAGAAGCATGACTGCAAGAGAAGCAGCAGTAAATCTAGAATGAAATTGGGTCTCCTAACAGCTGGGAATGGCCTTGGACATGGTTAAGAGAGGAAGAAGTTGGGGAGAAACCAAACTGTAGACTTAGTGGTGGACCCAGGACAACTTCTGGGCTGAATTTTTGTCTCTATCTGGCATTCCTTTGGCCATGTACTTCTGGATGAGGTGTCCAGCCAAAGAATTTCTTCCACCCATCCTGTGCAGACTTCGATATAAATCATACTAAGTCTGGTCATGCTTTGCAACCTTCATCTGTTGAGAGAAGAAGGTGAGACAGCACACGCTGGTAATGCCTAAATGCTTAATTACTTGGTTAGTTGGCAATCTGTTAGGATGAAAGCAAGAATCTTCGGTAGAAGTCAACCACCTTTGATATCAATATCTCAGGCCAGTCTTGAAACGGATCCCCGGGAGAGGTTATTTTGATCCCAAATTGTGCACTTCTTCCAGTCCAAATAGTGAATGTCACATTACTGGTTTTCCTACCCCTTCTCCATATCTGAGCACTTAAAGTTGTACTTTCTGAAGACTGAGCTTCATAATCCATCCAAACTCAAACGTTGGAACCAAACTGAAATGTAGTTTTATCCACTCAGTTTTGCAACAGGACCATGGCTGTTCCTCACGTGACTTCTACATTCCTCAGTTATTGAATCCGTGGTGCAAAACATGCACCTAAACACTGGAGCTTAACTTTTGGTTCAAAGAGATTTAACCTAGACTTTGCTTGAGTTCCACATCTTAGTGGAATGGAATTAGGCTATGGCGATGTTATAATACGGTCCATTTCAGGACAATATTAGGGTGGCTTTTTGTAACCCTCTTAAGTTAGGCAATAGGACTATCGCTTCCTTGGCTGAGCTTGAAAAGCCAAGCAGGATTAGTATGTGGATAGGACACCACCAGGACGTCCCAGGCAGGAAACTTAGAAAAAACATATCTGAAGGGGACAGTGGCAAGCATTTCTGTTCTGTAGCTTTATCTTTCTAGAGTAGTGTTTCTCAACCTCAGCATCTTTAAGATGTGTGGACTTCAACTCCCAGAATTCCCCGG